CAGTTTAGCTTATGACCAGATCTAGTCCAGAACACGTCCTGCTATATCTTGGACAATTACTAGCCAAAGTCAGGGACCCTGAATAGTATTATAATTTAGAAATTGGAATTCTGTAATAATGTCTCTGTCACTCTGAAGGCCCCCTTTGTTTTTAAAATTCTGAGGTATCCTAACTACATTCCGTGACGGCTACCTTTTAGGGGAGGCGTTGGCAGCAGAGGAAGGCGTGAGGAGGAGAAGGAACCTTCCTACCTTCCAGCTTTCTTGGTGAACACAGCAATGCTTATTAGCATGCATTTCACACAATTTCCATGATAATGCTATAATTTCAAACACTCTGAGTCAAAGACCTAATAAAGGAGGTTAGACTTGCTTTCTCAATTTGCTGCACAGATTGTGCATCTCTCCCTCCCCATCAGTCTTCCTTCTCCTAAGCAAAATGTAAAATTTGGAACAAAGGGTGGAAATACCAAGGTTTTGACTGATCTTATTAACATTATCCTGCTGTTCGCCAACAACATCGTAAGCATTTGCGTTCTGGTTCTAAGCATGTATATGGAAAAAAATCCTCCGGTCACTTTCAACCTTCTGAGATTTGGGGAACAAATGGGGTAAATTATCCAATGATGCTTATCGTGCCCCCAAACCTTCACTGAAGTCATTTAGTGTTGCCTTGATTAATGACTAAATATTTGATAAGCTATATTTAAAATTGATGGCTAGAACATCTGCCTTCCCGTACTGGTGTGAAGGAGAATGTATATATTTGTAATGGCCTTCAGGGCACCACGGAGCCAGTGATGGGTCCAGGCCCAGTGAGATGGGGGCCCTCCCAACACTGCTGAAGCCCAGCTGAATGATTCCCTGGATGAGCCACAGCATGGACCTTATCATGAACACCATGAGGTTTGAACAGTGCCTGGAGAAGGGTGGCGGAGAAATCAGAGATGATTCATGCCTCCTTCCTCTCAGTCTTGGTCAGGCACCACCACTTTGCGGGCTGGTCCCTCACTCTCCTTCACTCTGGGGGCTCCAGGGTTGTTCCTGGCTCTCACTAATGTGGTCAGGAAGCACTGTGGGAGTTGAGTTGCTCAAGACAGGAAGACTGAATAGGGCAGGAGGTGAGCAGGCCCAGGGAAAGGCAAACCTGGTTTCTGTTGGCCGAACCAAGTGAACAGACCCAGTTCAAGATAGTGTTCTGGTCATCTATTGCTGTGTAACAAACTACCCCCAGATCTGGTGGGAGGCAGGATAGGTTCCCAGGGGAGCAGACTTTGAGATGGAGAAGAGTGTGCAAGATGTTTATGAAGAACTGCCATTAGGATCAAGACATGGAATGGAGGGGAAGGAGCAGTTGAGTGCAGAAGAGGCCATGCTGCCTTGCAGCTCAGTGACAGCCCCAGCTGGCCCAACAGAAAGTTCTGAAGGACCCTTAGAGTTGCCCCAGGTTGAGATGACCTGACCTTTATGTCAGGGTAGGCAAATCCAGGTGGCCACCTATTTTTATAAATAAAGTTTTATTGGAACACAGCTACACCCCTTCATTTACATTTTGTCTGAGGCTGCTCTCTCCTTACTTGGGCAGAGTTGAGTAGTTGTGGCAGAGCTCTATGGCCCCCAAAGCCTGAAATATTTATATCTAGCCCTTCATAGAAGTTTGTTCAGCCCAGCTTTATGTTCCTATGCTCAGCAGCCCCTGGGCGTGACATTGGGCAGCAGCTTCCTGCAGAGGCAAGCTCTGGTGTCCCCACGGTAGTCAGCTAGCAGGTCCTTCCTCCACGGGGAGCATGGGTGGTGCTCACCATGTCCACTAAAGCAGATTGAAATGACCATTTTATTTTGCACACGATTTTGTGAGTCAGGAATTCTAGAAGGGCTCAGATGGAGAGTCTGACTTCCTTGGCGTCAGCTGGCCTAGAGGATCCACTTCCAAGATGTCTTCCTTGCTTAATGCTCTTCGGCTTCTTTCTCTGTTTATGGGGCGTCCCATCTTCCAGTGTTTCTTCGTACCGCATGAGGTGGTTTTGTGATCATCACACTTCTTCGTGAAGGCTTCAGCATGTGGTAGCCACAGGCCTACGAAGACCCACACCGAAGCCAGCGCGGAGTCACTGCTCTGTCTTATTGGTCAGAGCGGCCGCAGGATCTGGTGAGATTCAAGGTGGCGGAGCCCCAGAGGCGCGATCACAGCTCAGGAGAGCGTGTGGCAGGACATCCTGTGGCGCCATCCTTGGACAATACAGAATGTCTCAGTGGGCCGGTAGCTGGCTCGTCCAGGTCACAGAGCTCTTCGTGCGTCCCAACCCCACGGTCACCATCATCCCGGGGGTGGCTTGAAATGGCCGTGAGAGCAACAGGACACCTCGGGAATGGAATGGACTGGGCCTCGTCCCCAACCCCAACCCCAGAGAGCCCATTGTTAAACATGGACCAGCACACCACTGTCGCTGTGGGAGGGCTTTCAGTTTGAAACCAGATGAGAAGAAAAACAGTATTTATTGAGCGCCAAGGACTCTCCATGCCCTGGCACCTCAGAACAACTCTGTGGTGTGCGATTGTCCCTTATTTTACAGAAGAGCAGTCCCAGGCTCAGCAAGGTTGGGTAATGGGGCAGGATTTGAACTGGGGTCTCCTCAGCCTCTGCTGTCCTGCCCCACAGAGCCTAGAGCCCTCAGGAGAAGGAAACGGGTTGCTCTTCACTGACCCAAAGGAAGCTCAGGTCCGATGTGAGGTGGGGAAAGCTGCCTAAGAGCAAAGGAACAAAGGCCTGGCCTGGAGCTGCAGTGGGACCCAGGCCCCCGCCCTGCGCTGCAGTTTTGGGTACTAGCAGGTTCACCCCATCTCCAGGCATCCAACCCCAGCCACTTCTCACTGTCAGGAAACTTCCGATGTGTCCAGAGGCACAAGTGGTCTGTGTGAGCGAGCAGGAGTGGGGATGCCCCTGAAGGCAGGACAGGGTGAGGCAAGGCTGGGCCGGCCCCCACAGTCTCAGCAGCACCCCCTTCCCGGGAGCGCAGTGGTTGGGCCAGACAATGGACTTGAGGGGGCGGGAGAGGGGAGAAGCAGGACGGGAAGGGGGTTTTCATGTTGGACCCCTGGGGCAGGTGGCATGGCATTCGACAGGGATGGTGGTGACCCTCCTTCAAATGGCACCCATTCCGCTTACTGACCTCAGCCTCCTGACGGACTTGGTAGTCTCTTCGTGTATATTTATTACCTTCTGTTGGTCAAATCCTCAAAGGACTAAGTCCTATGATACCTGTCTGGTGAGAAAATGGGGCCCAGTGTGAAGGAGTAAGCTTCCAGCTGCAGAGTTAAGATGTGTACCGGGTGCGCCAACTCTGGACCTTACCCCACCACGTGGTCCACGGCAGCGCTGGCCAGAGATACGGAAGCACCTAGATGATAGAGCATCATCCTCAAAATTACTTGGTTCATCATTTCCCATTTTTCCCTCCCTTCCCCTCCCTAGAGTTGAAGGAATCCCTCTCCCTGTTTTGTTGGTTTTAAGAAGAATAAGAAGATAGAAAAGTGAGGAGTGGTGGGTTCCCAGTGCAGTCATGGCCAAGGGCTCCGTGGAGAGAGGAGGGCAGCAGGCCCCCAGGGTGCAGGCAGGGAGGCCCCTACCGTGGGAGTGTCAGTCAGTGCCGCCTGTAGACCTCTGCCATCCAGGCAGGGCTCCTGGCCTTCATGGCTGGCTCAGGCTCTGGGGCCCATGGTAGGTCTGTATGAGCCCTCTGCTCGGGTCCCAGGAGTCACCTCGCCTTTCAGATAAACATCCAAATGCTAAATATCAGAGGGATGCTGTGCATCAGGAGAATGCAATTAAAACTTTGAAAAATGTTCCTCACTTTTGAGAGTGCTAAGGATCACCTCGGACGCTGGTTAGATATTCTGCATTTCTCGGTCCCCACTCTCAGAAACTCTCAGGCAGCAGGCTGGAACAGAGGTCCAGATTTGCATTTTTAAAAGGCCCCAAGCAATCCAGATGCTAGTGGACCTGGGGCCAGGCTAAGAAAAACAACTTAGAGAGTGAAGGGGCAGGATCTGACCCCTTTCTTGAAGACGTCGGCTTTCTTGTCATTAGAGTTTAATCTCGTAAGCACTGGTTTTCTTTTCTGGATGTGGAAGTGGTAGGTATGTTTATGGAGCTGTCTTGCCAAAAGAAATATAATGAACACAGCATTTATGTGCATAATTGCAGTTAATTATTATGTTGTGAATGAATGGTTAAACTTGAGAAAAGATGAACTTATAAAAACTCTTATTAAAAGTTCCCTGTTATTTGCCATTAATTACTGCTGTGGATTTCTTCAGGGAGTTTGTTCGCTTATTCACCGGCTAACAAAGTTTTGAGCTCTTGCTGTGTGGCTGGCACTGTGTGAGTCCTGGGGGTTAGCCGTGGGCTGACCTCTGTCCATCAGGGGTTTACAGTCTGGCCAGGGAGACTGATTCATAAATCCCTAAACAACCCTCGTGCATTTCAAATTTGCATATGTTTATTCTTACTAGGAAAGGTATTTGTTAAATTCATTACTAAATGTGATTTTTTATAAATATATAGGATTTATATATAAACAGATACAAAATAACAATAAGAAAACTCTTGTAGGCCATATGTTGTGATTTGGGGCTTAAAAGAATTGATTAGCACACAGATTATGAACTTTCCAGGCACTCTCTGACTGCACGAGGAAGATATGTTCTATAAATTCTACACAGAGTTGGCTTATCATTTTGTTTTGTTTTTAAATCAGTGAGTTAAGACTTCACCTGTATGTATGTGTAAGTAAGATGTTTTAAAGATACATTCCTCCCCCCATCACACCTCTGCTCCCTGCCCTCACCTGTGAACATAGCACACGAGGAGGTTGGTACCCAGGTGCTTTCCAGCACAAATGTACCTGAAGGCAGAATTCCCATCTAGTGGTGAGAAACATGGAGAATTCTGGTTCCTCGCTTAGTTCCAGCTTGTTCTTATGCCATTCTCTTGCCTGAAGTTTGAGCCACCACAAGGGAAACCAAACTGTCCCCAGTAACGTCTGCTTCCTGGTTTTCAGAGTTGCAGGTGGCGAGCTGTTCGACTTCTTGGCTGAAAAGGAATCTCTGACTGAAGAGGAAGCAACCGAGTTTCTCAAACAAATTCTTAATGGTGTTTACTACCTGCACTCCCTTCAGATTGCCCATTTTGATCTTAAGGTATGTTTTGCTGAGTGTAAGCCGGAGAGAAGGTTATGCAAATCACAGCATTGGTTGGTTGGTTGTTAAGAAAAATTGAGGCATCTGAAAGACATACATTTTTTTTTAATCCTGTATGGGTGTAACAGATGGAATTAGGAAGATAAATCAGCAGGTATATAGTGCATAGCTACTCAAGGATTCCTGACCTTTTGTGGGATAGAGCCTGAAGATGAATGGTTACATTCAAGAATCCTTGGAGAAGAAGCAAAGGGTTTTACCAGCTGGCTCTCTAAGCAAGGGGGCTGCTGTTGGTTATGGGGTGTTTCAGCCTAGAGTGGCCACTGGCTGCCCAGTTTCCAGGCCCTGTAGCTGTAGGGCATGTAAGGAGGAAGATGTCTTGATCTGTCTTCTCCCTCTTGATGCAAAGGCCTGACTCTGTCACCGGCAATCGATCAAGACAAACTCTGAGATTGGCTAATTGGGATCTTTGCCTGCCTGGAGGCAAAGCACTATGGGAGATAAAAAGGCATGTCATACTTGTAACTGTCAGAGAAGTTATGGCCTCTTTAGGAAGGGAAGGCAGATACAAATACACAGGCAACACGCAATGATGATACAAGATTCAAGATAGAATCCAAGGCATTGAGAAGTGATCACAACGCAGCGTGTGATCGACTGTCAAGTGAATGATTCAGATCATTGGTGCTAGGATGAGATTTCAGAGGAGGGAGGTCTTTCTCCATATTTATTGTAGCAGAGCTGTCGAGACTCCATCCGGATCCCCCCAACACTCACTAACACACACACTTGTGGCTCTCTGCCTGACGTCTGGTTTCTGGCCCTGGGAGCTGCAGATGCCAGAGGAAATGCCCACAGAAGCACTCTTAGCAATGGAGGTTGGGGAGATGGTGGATAAATATCCCGACTCCCTCCTGCTTCAGTTGGAAAACTCAGTGCTACTCCTCCTGACGTTCCCCAAAGTGATTGCCCTCCAGTCACCCCCACCTTGGCAAGATACCTTGTGTGGGTTTCCTTCCTTCTGCTTCCTGTCTCCCCATCCTCTGGTGAGAAAATGAGGCCCCTCACACATAAGCCACTTGCACCTGAATCCCTGTCACGGGTCTGCTCCTGGGAGAACCTAAACCACGACATTTCTTTGTCCTGGTGTTTTCTTGCAGCTACCCTTTCATCCCTAATTTTGGTGGGTTTTTTTCCAGGGGAGAACAATTCTGCCACTTTGTCTTCAGCATAATACATTATAGCACTTTTTTTTATTGTGGTAAAGTAAACATAGCATAAAAATAACCATTTTAATACAGTTCAGTGGCGTTGAGTATATCCACACTGGTATACAACCATCACCACAGTCCATCTCTAGAAGGAATTGATCTTCCCAAACTGAAACTCTGTATCCATTAAACCCTAGCTCTTCATCCCTCCTCCTGCAGGGGCTAGCAACCACATTTCTACTTTCTGTCTCTATGGATTTGCCTATTCTAGGTTCTTCTGATAAGTGAAATCATAGAGTATTTGTCCTTTTTTGTCTGACTTACTTCAGTTAGCAGAATGTTTCCAAGGTACATCCATGTTGTAGCATTGTCAGAATTTACTTCCTTTCTGAGGCTGAATAATACTCTAATAGAGGTGTGTGTGTGTGTGTGTGTGTGTGTGTGTGTGTGTGTGTGTATACATACATATATACCACATTTTGTTTATCCACTGATCAGTTGATGGACATTAGGTTGTTTCCACCTTTTGGTTATATGAATACACTGTTTTGAACACTGGTGTACTATTTTTCTCCTTTTTTTTTTCTAAGCCCGAAAACATAATGCTTTTGGATAGAAATGTCCCTAAACCTCGGATCAAGATCATTGATTTTGGGTTGGCCCATAAAATTGACTTTGGAAATGAATTCAAAAACATATTTGGGACACCAGAGTTTGTTGGTAAGTTTCTTTTACTCCTGTGCTCATTTATTTCTCATAAATATAATGGCAAAATGTCCCCTGCTGTAACATCATCTATTTTCCTGGTACATATTTCTAGTTTATACCTGATGATAGAATCTGTTGACTCACTTTCTTTCAAAACTAAACATGTGTTTATTTCCTCTTAGCTCCTGAGATAGTCAACTATGAACCTCTTGGTCTTGAGGCAGATATGTGGTAAGGAGCATGCCCTTGACGCTGTCATCTTTCTGATTTACTTTACTGTTCTTCTGACATTTGCTTCTGGTTTTGTTTTTGTGTCTAGGAGTATTGGGGTAATAACCTATATTCTGTAAGTATCAAAATCCATGTCTCATATTCTTTTCCTCTTTCTTTGAGACCATATGTCTTATTAACCATCTATGTGTCATGTTGATCTCTTCAGTTTATGCATGCTTTTTATGTAAACATATTCATTTTACACCCCCAGAACACGTTTAGTTTATACTAATTAAACATGTTCTTCTAATTCCCAATGAGTCATCAGAAACTGCCGCATAATCGCTGAAAGCAAGCGTGGCTGTCCGTCACTGCTGAGAAAATAGGAAAGGGGTGTTTTTTTAACTACTAGATGCTGTTCCAAATTAACTTTTTAAATGCATCCTAGGCATTAAGCTTTTGTGCATGACAGATAAATGCCCTATAAAATGTAATTGGATTCTGAACTAACTGCCCGAGCACCGGATTATAATCTGATGCCTCACTCCCCTTATCAGCTATTATAGGAATTACATGACAGCCCAGGAGGTAATTATTCACATTCTGCACCCCACTTTATTAACAGCCTAAGTGGGGCCTCCCCATTTCTTGGAGACACTAAGCAAGAAACGTTAGCAAACGTATCGGCCGTCAACTATGAATTTGAGGAAGAATACTTCAGTAATACCAGTGCCCTAGCCAAAGATTTCATAAGAAGACTCCTTGTCAAGGATCCAAAGTGAGTGTCCCTTATTCCTGAAGGGTTCCCGGCTGTGGCTTCAGCTGGACCAGGGGTGATACCTGGACTGTGCATGCAGCCACGTTTACGAGAGCCTGGTTGGTTCTGCGTGGCAAAGGAAAGCATGCCATGTGGAACGCTTTGGAAAACGCAGGCAGGGCCCTTTGGACCTGCTCAGTCAGTCTCTGCAGATACAGTAAAATAGTCCCAGAAAGACCAATGTTCTTTCCGGCTTTCTTCCATGAAGCAGGCCCTGAACTGCATTTTCCAGAGCATCTGCTTAGTAGGCCCAGCCGGCATGGAAACAACCTAGTGTTTGCTTCTATGGTCACAGCATTTTTTTTCTTTCCCCTCCCCCTACAAAGGAAGAGAATGACAATTCAAGATAGTTTGCAGCATCCCTGGATCAAGGTAAGTTGCCTATTGTGATTGGTTTGGTATTATAGGGCATCCTGGAATGCATTTGCCCTAGGGTATTACTAGTTACCATGGGGTCTCACCACAGATCACGTCTGCAATATTGTTTTTTATATTGGTGCCGTATTTTAAGACGGCTGACAGATGAGAGTGTCCTAATGGTCATGGAGGTGGAGAAGAATGAGCTGTCACAACGCGGGATTCTAAACCAGGAGCTGAAGGTCAAGTCTACTCAACAGCCATTTTTGGTTTGACCTGTCGGATGGTGGCCCAGAGAATATTTTAAATTTTTTGGAATTGATTTCCAGCATAAATATCATATCAACCCTGGATTTCCAGTGTCTGTTGTAAAATCTGGAAGTCTACTAATACTGAGCCCTCATTCCGTAAGGCTTCCAAACCCTGCACAGCTGCCTAGGTGACTGAGCCTGTGCCCACCCCCTGGCATATTATATACCTCTGCATTCCCTGAGACACCCATTGGCATTTGGGTTAAAGAACTAAAGTTGCTCCAGCTAGAGCAGAAAGGACTGAGGGTGGGGAATACGGCAGTTACAGAATAAAATCATGAAACTGGTAAGGGGATTGCAGTGTAACAGCTTGCATTGCTGAAGTAGGTTTTGGGCATCCAGAGAGTTCTGCTATGTGAGCTCCTAGCAATTGCCTGGGCTCCCTGAGGAGGCAATGGTGTCTCCTTCTCTTGGCAGTAGAGCTAATGGCCTCCTAAAAAGATGCAGTACAGGGGATTCTAATGCTGTCAGACAGGCCAGATTTGCTAACCTCTGAGTCCCCTACCCACTCTACATTACTTGATGATGTTAAGTTCACATGCCTCATCACGTAACCTCACCATGAATCTTGCCATTCCCAAACTCTCAGTGTGGGAAGTTGACATTCAGCCTGGTCCAAGCTCAACTCTTCAACTTTTCCCAAGATCCAGTCTTTATGGATTTTATCAAACCCTTAGCCACAAGAGTTGACCCCCGGAGACTAGGTTCCTAGCTCTTGTGTATTATCCCAGCTTGTTTTGTTGTTTTGGTAAGGTGAGTGTGTGCACATCCCAAATAATTAGAGGTTTCCAAAAGTTGTCATGGCACGCATTTTCATCATTTGAGTGCTCTAAATTTGCTTTCTTGGACTTTGATTTTAGCCTAAAGATACCCAGCAAGCACTTAGTAGAAAGGCGTCGGCAGTCAACATGGAGAAGTTCAAGAAGTTCGCAGCCCGGAAAAAGTGGAAAGTAAGAGTGTTTGGCAGGGAAGAATTAACTAATTTCTTTCCTCTGCGGCACTGCCTCTGGCCAGTCTCATCTCTTCTGATACCGACCATACAAAAGTGCATCCTTTTTTTGTCTGTTTGTTTAAATTTACTCTATAGTCTTCTGCACTGTGAGGCTATTTTCAAAAGATAAGCAAAAACAATATTTCAGTCCTCTTTAACTCTGATTTTCATATGTAATTTTGAATTTTTAAAAAAAATCAAAACCATTCCCAAGGCAGATTTTTAAATCAGCACAACAGAAATACAGTGCAGTCTTTTCCTAAATGCAACAAGCCGCATTTTAAATAAATCTGTTCTTTGTGGTAAGCAGCATGAAATTGTGTTTGTAGCAGAACTTGTGTAAATGGTTCTCTAAATCCAGCCTTGGTCTGTGAATGGTGGAGATGGGAGTGGGGCAAGGGCCATGCGCATGTGGTCTGTTGTACTTTTTCAGTGTGGATGGCCTCCGTAGGGGCTGTGTAGGGCATGGCTCTAAAAGACATTCCAGTCAACTTTGAACAAATAAAAATTCAAGGTTAACAAGGTGACAGGATGTCTTCCTATGCCCAGGGTCATGCAAAGCCCAGAGGAAGCAGGTACTTGGCATGTCTCTGAGCATTGGGCCGGAAATGTACCTCATTTTCACACCCATCAGGTTCGGGATGACGTGATAGGGATGAGGAGGACCACAGCACTAGGTTACTAAGACTTAACAGTCTGAAGGAAGCCCTGAGAATAGGCTTAAAATGTAGAGAGAACCACCATAAGTTTCTCTCTTTTTTTCCTCTCTTTTTCACACACACACACACACACACACAATTATTTATTGTTGCTTTTGCCCTTGAGAGTAAATGCAGGGGTATTTTTGTCCTATAGGCTAAGGAGTTCCCCACTGTTTGTTTCCGACAACTGTATGAATTTTGATAGTCACATTGCTACCATTACAAGCTTGCCTGGGCACAAGGACACAGGACAAGACCCTTGCATACCATGCTTCTCTGAGTGGGGATGTGCAAGGGGTTTGTTAGGGTAAGATTCCACTGCTCAGAAAGTAGAGAGGAACATATTAAGAGAAGGGATGAAGGCTATGCAATTGTGTAGTTAATAATGAAATGTGGAAGGAGAATCTCTGTCCTGTTGTCTTGATTTATAAGACCTTTAGAAATTTCTTTAAGCAAATATGATCCAACCTGCTTATAGGACCTCCCACCCCTAAAGAACATGCCATCAGCAGTGAATGCTATCTCAAAGACTTTGCCATTTGCACTAATTTGAGTATCCTTATATAAGCTCTCTTTCTTCCTCTCCCCCTGCATTTATGTTTTGTTTTTTTTTTTGCCTTTTTTTTTTTTTAAAGCAATCTGTTCGCTTGATATCACTGTGCCAAAGATTATCCAGGTCGTTCTTGTCCAGAAGTAACATGAGTGTTGCCAGAAGCGATGATACTCTGGTAAGCAAACCTGTTTGCCTTGGTGAGGTTCTTTCTTAGCACTGTGTATTTCAAATGTTCAGGTTGTTTGATTTGTTCAACAACCCAGAAAACGTGAAGTCACAGAAGTGTCAAGCCTGTTCTTCCTCCGCTCAAGGGAGGGAGTTGGGTGGCTGATTTGATGTACTCTGTTGCTTCTCTTGTTCTTTTTCTCTTTGTTTGTATTGGCACCATACCCACTCCCACCCACTACCTCTAACACTCCCACCCCCCACCCCACCCCTCCCACACTCACAGTTTGATGAGTGACTGGCCAGCAGAAGAGGAAGGAGTTTATTCTAATTTTCATGAATAAAATGAGAGTCCTCTGTTGCCACTTACCTTGGAAAATACTGGGTCGTAATAGTACAAAACGGGCAGACACTCCTCCTGCCAACACACACACACCCACCCACCCAAAAATCAGGACAAATACTGTGGGGCTTGCTGGGGGAGTTCGTGGTAGACCAGACGGCTAAACCCACTTCCTCTGTTGACATTATATTGCATGTGTAACACCTTTGAGAACAGCTCCATAATTTTTTTCCCTTAATCCACACTGAAACCTAATCATAGATTAATTCTTCAGATATGATTGGACACATCTGAATTCAGTAAGACTCTCCCCTGACAGACAACAGGGCTTTGGGAGCCCTGGAGGTAGAGGGAACTTCAGAGAAGGCAGAAAGGGTGGTCCTGTAAGAACCAGCCTGCTCCTGTGACAACTACATAGTGAGTGTTTCCCGAGCGGCTCCAGGGACTCCATGGGCAGGATCACACATCAGCAGACACCAGCTCTTCTTTCCCCCCTGACACTAGTTGCTTCACTGAGACTCCAGGTGTAGCATTGTAGAGTAAAAAGAGATAGGAAATGTTAAGAAGAAAATAGGAGTGGGAGAAAAGCAAGGTCGGAGAAGGAGGAGGTGGAAGAGAAAGTTTGGGTTTGGGAATTGTTTGAGGGTAACAGCGGAACCAAGGACAAGACAAAAACTATTAATCTAAGTAAGATGAGAACAATTAAATGTTATAAATTAAAATCATCTTGAATAATCACTTAGGGGAAAATTTAAGTGTCGCAATGCAAAGTTTAGGGTAAGAGAGGGCTTTGGGGTGTGAGGGGCTCCGGGTGGGATGACCCCTCCCACAACTCAGGTTCCCTCATCATCCTGGTGTCCTGCTAATCATGGGGACCTGTGGTAACAATCTGCTTCTTCCCATTCACCCCATTTCTCTTGACTGTCACTTTCATGCATATGTCTCTAAGTCATCAACTTGAATTGTGATGGAAAAGCAAAACCAGTGACATTCTTAACATGGGCTCTGTACGAATATTTTTAAAACGCTCATGAAGTTTGTGTGGATTCAGATCCATAGAGAAGAGAAAGCAGAGTCCAGAGAAATGCTTTCTCCATTCTGCCCCAAAAGCAGAGACTCAGCCTCTGTAGATATGCTTTTCCAGATTTGAAATATTAGACGCCATACCCCTGTAAGTCCAGAGATTTTGTTTGGGAGTTTTCTGGCTTATTCCTTAGTTTTAATGTGCTGTATTTGGTAAATATCTTATTATTATAAGAAAACTTTGACAAAGTGGCAAAGATTTAACTAAGTTGTTGTTAATATTCTCTAGTTATTTTCTTTTTGTAATGAGAAATGCATCTGTTTTCCTTTTTCTGGCCTTTATTTTCATACTTCTTCCCCTCTAGGGTCTTTATATATATATGTTAGTTGTGACCAGGTTTCAGAGAATGCCATGTGATTCTATACCTAGAGAAGGAAGAAATTCCTGTGATTAGAAAATAACAATTCTATAATTGAACGAATTACAAATTAAGACTATAGAATTCAGGGGCACCTGGCTGGCACAGTCAGTAGAGTGTGTGACTCTTGATCTTGGGGTTGTGAGTTCAAGCCCCACATTGGGGGTAGAGCCTACTTAAAAATAAACTAAAATCTTAAAAAACAAAAAACAAAAAACAAAAAAACGGTGTAGAAATCAGAGGTATCATTTCCTTGGTTCTGTGGTTTTTAAGAGTCTGGGTTATGCCTGCTGTATTCTACAGTGGTGTGGGGACTATATATTTTGAAAGATTGCTAAGATAAACACAGAGGGTAGTTGGTTATCAGTCGTTGTTCTAAATCTGAGTCTTGAAAGCTGTTTGCTGTGTGGGTTATAATGCAAGTGACATGAAGGCCCAGGTAAACAGAAGGTAGTGTTAGTTTCCAACATGGCAGGAGCCAAAAGAAACCCCCTGCTTCCCTTCATGACCAAGTGGATTTGGGGAGGAAGTGGCTTACTTTCCTCTGAATGCTTCTCTTGACAGATGAGCATTGATTTCTCTTATGTTGATGAGAGGATCATGGCCAGCAAGCTAACTCTTTTTCCCTCTTCACGGTCCCTCTCAAGGATGAGGAAGACTCCTTTGTGATGAAAGCCATCATCCACGCTATCAATGACGACAACGTCCCGGGCCTGCAGCATCTCCTGGGCTCATTGTCCAACTACGACGTTAACCAGCCCAACAAGGTCTGATGCTGTTCTAACGGGGAGGGGGCGGGAGCGTCACTGTGACTGTACACCTCCAAGTCCAAGGTGGAGAGGATCCCTCTACTTCTCCATTCCCCCTGGCTGTTACAAACGCCAGCCTGTGGGGAAATCACTTCTGTGTTGAGAGTGAATTGAGTTAGAAATGAGGTCAAGGGCACTGAGGGCCTTTCTTCATGCCCGCCCCCCCCCCTCCCCGCACCTCTAATCATGACATTGTAAATGTGCTCCTCCTGCAAAAGCACATGTCACCCTTGACTGCGAATCCAGCAGAGAAGGGCTGTGTATTGTCCCGGCTCTCCCCGTTCCTGTGAGGCAGCAGAGTTGTGTGTCTGATGAGACGCAGGAAGCTCTGTGGTGTGGGGCCGCTGTGATAGTTGCTTTCCCTTTCCCACCAAACTTGAAACAAATTTTCTTTCTTGCCTCTTCCAGCATGGGACGCCTCCGTTACTGATCGCTGCTGGCTGTGGAAATATTCAAATACTACAGTTGCTCATTAAAAGAGGCTCAAGAATCGAAGTCCAGGATAAGGTCAGAATTTTGTTTTATTGCCACTGAATTAGCTTTTAAGTATTTCCAACTGTTTCTTTATGTTAGAGCTAACAGAGAAGAATAACATGGGCCCCTGACTTCATTTCTCCGTTTCCTGTAAAGGAAGATGAACTGCCTAAGAGGCTGGTCCAATCTAACCTGTGTTATAAAGAAAAAGGCAAACACTTCCCTTCCTCTTGGCTCTGTTGCTGGGCATCAACCTTGTGCGCTACCCCAGATTCACTCCTGACTAATCACGTTTACTCAACAGCATTATTAGATGTCACATTTGGCAAAATTTTCATTACCTAATTAATCTCATCAGAAGTACATTTGCCTCCATGTTTATTAGGGCAACAAAGCAAGGACAATACATACACTTTGAGGTATAGGTCACCTTGGAAGGATAGACACAATTGTTTAACAGCAAATAGTCATTACAGTGGGTCTGCCGTCAGCTTCTGCAGATTTTCAACAAAACTATAAGTGGACTGGATCTGATTCTTAAGCAAGTTCTGACCAGAAATTGAAACGAAGGTTTTAAGAAAAGAAAAACATCATTTTGAAATAATTCTAGATTTACCAAGAAAGTTGCAAAGATAGTACAGAGAGCTTCCCAGGTTGTTAACATCTTACGTAACCTTGGTCTTTTTGGCAAAACTGAAAAATAAAACGGGAGTTTATTCCTCTTGGAAGTTGCTCTTTTGAAGTTGCTGTCACCTGGGAAGGAAAATTGAGTCTGAGTGATGCATGCATTTGGATCTGGAAATACAACTCCACGTTGGCTTTTATACAGGGCGGATCCAATGCCATCTACTGGGCCTCTCGGCATGGCCACGTCGATACCTTGAAATTTCTCAATGAGAACAAGTGCCCTTTGGATGTTAAAGACAAGGTAAGGCCACTTCTTTTCTTAGGGACGGTGGGAAGCGATAAGAGGCTGCATATGAGTGTTGACCTGCCATATGCGTCCGGACCCAAAGCACAGCACTATGACCAGCACCTATAAGTGCTCAATAAACAGTGATAATATAACTCTACTAGCAGTGCTATTCAGTTAAGTGCTTTAAACAAAAATACAGCCTAAAATGTAATTCAAGTTCTTGAAAGTATACCTACTTTTTTCCCCTTCTAATCCTACCCCCAAAAGGACCTAGGGTATTGATTTACCAAAAGAGGTCCTCAAATTACTTGAAAAAGTAAGAGAATTCTCAAAATCTTCCTGCAGAGAATTTAATTTAGAAGTTTCTTTCTGCTGCTGGCTTGCTCTAATATTAAAATCTGCAGTTAGCTGAAATCTGCCAGGTAGTTGGCATAATATGCAAGCAGTGAATTTTCTTCCCCCTGACATGGAAACTCAAGGTTCTGCTAGAGGGACGACCAGAAACAGACCTGAGTCCTGATTCTTTTACTGAATTGCCGTGTGTACGTACCTTTCTCCTCCTCCTCTCTGAAGTAGCTGCCAGTGTGGATCTTACACGCACGGGCCCTAGAAGGATTCACGAGACTGCATGTAAAATAAGGCTTTTGGGGGCAAAGATATTATAAAAATTATTGATTTAGCAAGATAACCTTAGTTTCATATATCTGTTACTTCATTCGGTTCACACCACAGTCCTGTGAGTTCATTGGTAGGGCTGGAACACATACCTAGCATTCATACCTCCTCATCCATTATGCATTCTACTGTGCAACCCCGCTCTGCTCCTGATACTTGTAGACTGGTTTGTCATGTTCAGTCAGGACTGCCGCATACAGTTGTATGGAATGTGCACTGCTCTATATCTAAGGGATGATACGTCAAAGACACACACATACACACATATATATTATGGCAGTTTTGGGTCAGGTAGCATCAAATATCTTGTTTTGCTTTAAATCCGTTTATACTCACAAGTTTTGGATAAAGGATATAAGTAAAATATCCTAAGGAAATTGCACGTATTACAAATTCACAGAATGCAATTGTGGGCTAATAGTGGTGTTTTTTAGAATCTCTGAGAATGTAAGAAATAACATTCTAAACATAGACGGTGAAATCAGAAACTTGCTCATAAATAAAACTGTTTAAATAACGTAATATTAAAGAGGGAGTTTTGTGTTTTTTAAAAAGAAATCACATGGCTACGAGCATCAATACATAAAGAGGATTGAGAACCACCATCCCAGAAAGGGAGAGCGTTCTCACTTAGGACGTTTTGTGACAAACAGGATGAGCTACGTGTGTGGCTTTAACACTAGCTCTGTGGGACACATCCTACCCCAGGGTCCTGGGCCCAGTCACCAAAGGGGCATCTGGCCTGGGGGTGGTGGGGACCCCAAAGGGGAAGACATGGAGGCAGGCATGCGTGGGATGTGGCCTCCAGTCCTGTGCATTTAGTTTCCGCAGTCTGCTGAATTTGGCTCTTTCTTTTACAGTCTGGAGAGACAGCGCTTCACGTGGCCGCTCGCTACGGCCACGCCGATGTGGTTCAGTTATTGTGCAGCTTTGGCTCTAATCCCAATTTCCAGGACAAGGTGGGTCATGGTAGTCGATGTCCTTTCATTTGCTTGCTTGCTGCATGGATGTGCACATAGCTGATTGATACAGTCGGGTCCTTTGGGTTTTCTGCTTTGATTTTAGAGGGCAGCCTCGAACCAGAAACACTAGCGTTCATTCATTCATTCATTTATTCCTCTGGACAGCCCTACTGGTGGGTTGCTGTTATCATCATCCTCATTTTACAGAAGAGAAGACTGAGGCACAGAGAGGGTCAGTGACTTGCCCAAGCTCACACAGCTCCTAAATGGTGGAGCCGGGGCTCAAACCCACACAGTCTGGTCCCTGAGTCATGCCGTCAGCACTACAATGTAATAACCTCTCATAGACAGACATACGTGTCTAAGGATGTTGATGGTGAATATACAGGCCTTCCAGTCCTGTAGACCTGGCGGCCAGTCCTTCCGGTGACTTGTTAAAGCCCAGTTATCTCGGCACTTCTTTGCCAGAGCAACAATAAATTATGTGACTCATCTTTATGGTACATCCATGACAGAAATCTTGAGGGGTTAAGATAGTTGCAGGAATGCTTGCTTGGATAAGTGCTGTACTGTGAGGAGTCTCAGATGAAGTGAATGAAGGCACTTTCACAAGAAAGATGCTAGGAACCTACCCACACCGGGGCTCACTCGTTCAGAAGAGCTGAGCCGACGGTTCCAGGGGGCTCCTGAAAGTCAGTCAGTAACCTGCAGGGAAAACCGAATTTGTCCAACACACAAGTGTGGAAGGCAAGAAAACTAATGAAGGAGAGACGTCACACCCACATCCATTATTTCAGATGAACATTTTGCCCCAGTGGCCACGAGCCTTTTTCTCCGTGCTCTGGGACTTGGCTGCCGATGACGGCTAGAACTCAGCGTGTGCACACTTGCGTGTTGTCGTGTCCGTCTCCTCTATGCGTGTGTCTCTTTGGCCAGGAAGAAGAAACCCCCCTGCACTGTGCCGCCTGGCATGGCTACTACTCTGTGGCCAAAGCCCTTTGCGAAGCCGGCTGCAATGTGAACATTAAGAACCGAGAAGGAGAAACGCCCCTCCTGACAGCCTCTGCCCGGGGCTACCACGACATCGTGGAGTGTCTGTCGGAACACGGAGCCGACCTTAATGCCTCCGACAAGGTGCTTTGTGGGTAAACATACCACACTCCCCGGCAAGTGATCTGGGGGGCTGGGGGGACCACAAGCCTCCTCCGTTAGTTTACCTAAAATAACAAACTCGAAGGTAGCAAACTACAGTGATCTTTGTCTTCCCTGTTTCAGAAGCTCTATGGCCTTTTCTAGATTCTGTTTAATAATTAATATTCATTGGTGGCATAGAACACTTTATGGTCACATGACTCCGGTGTCTATTTTATGTTTAGCCTTTTTCGCTTTGGAGCAGGTACAGTGAGCCTAAGACAGTCTTCAGTTAGGACGAGAATTGGCAACTCACTATTACTTCGTAGATAAACAAAGAAACAGGTGGTTTATTTACTTTCATCACCGGCTCTTTTGTAAAAAGACAAAACCCGCCTTTAAATTGTCTGATAATTGCCGTTCTAGGCCAGGTGTTCTTTTATTAATGATACAAATTCAGCATAATCTATTCTTACTGTGAGTTTGTACTTACGTGAGGCTGTGACGTTACTCTGTATAGTCCGATTGGGGACGCTGTAGTTAAGTTAGCACCTGCCATTTGTGGAATATTTTCTTAGTACGGAGAGGTGGTTCTCAATTGGGAGCAAGCTTGTCCCCAGGAGACATTTCGTAATGGCTGAAGACCTTTTTTGGTTGTCACAGCCCGGAGTCCCCACACAGACATGTCCCCAAAATCTCTCCCCGGCACAGGGAACTCAACATGTCTGTTCGCCAGGGAATCCATAACAAGTGGAGGGAATTCTCAGGCTGGTCTTTTTGGGATGCCTGGGTTCAGCATGTTATATTTGCCCCTGATATATACGACAGCCTTTGAACACATCACTTTCCATGTTTTTTTCCTCAGTTTCTCCCAGGGTAAGATAAAAGAATAGTCTTTCTGCCTAGGAAGTTAGTAAAGATGCTGAGCAAATGTTTTTAAAAGTGGTTTTCAAGTGCTTGATAAAACAGGCCATTGAAGTACCAACACTTACTTAAGTTCTATAAAGTCAGGGACAAGAAGTGTTGGCTGTTTCTATCTGATTGTACTGGCCGCGCCCGGATTAGTCAGGCTGAGGGTCAGCTTAGTCTGTGGTTATTCAGAGTGGGGTGCACGAAGCGTCTTGGCCACCCACCAGGAGGAAAGTCTGTGTTGTAAGCCTCCTTCGGGCTTTGTACTAGCAATGCTGTTACCAATTCATCTTGGCCCAGTGGCAGCTGGAAAGGCGAGCGGCCAGGCCCGCATGCCCAAGGGAAAGTGCTGATGGCCCCTGGTGCTTCTTGCAGGATGGACACATCGCTCTTCATCTTGCCGTGAGACGGTGTCAGATGGAGGTCATCCAGACTCTCATCAGCCAGGGATGTTCTGTTGACTTCCAAGACAGGCACGGCAACACCCCCCTCCACGTGGCCTGCAAAGATGGCAACGTGCCTATTGTGGTGGCCCTCTGTGAAGCCAGCTGCAACTTGGATGTCTCCAACAAGGTAATGCCGGCGGGGATCTCTGCAGGGACCAGTGTGTGCGTCCATCCACCTGCCTCTGGGTTTGGGCAGCCTGCTCTTTGCGTCTCGTCATTGTTGAAAGTCTGTGTTACTCAGGGGGACCTGTTCCGTCTTATAGGGCTCTCTACTTAATGCCATATTTTACATTTGGCTTTGAATAATGTCCTGAAGTAACAGAAAATTACTACATTAATAAGTACTTCCTACCTAGCCAGGTTGTCACTTACGAATGTCGAGAGAGGGAAAGAGAAAAAGGGAGTGTGTGTGTGTGTGTGTGTGTGTGTGTGTGTGTGACCTCTTGTAGAGGAATCCCAGAACATCGGTCAAATGAGAGCATCTTTCTGGAGCACTAAGTCTTCAGGAAAACACCTCATTGAGAATCTGAGAACCAGATTTCTGTTCTTAGCTTCACCCACTGAGAGTTTTATCGTCAAGCATTCACAACCCTTTTTTGTGCTAAATAAATTTGGTAAGACCAGGGGAATATTATCATTTGGCAAATAAAGAAATGGAAATAAATAATTACATGCTCCAAAAACCCCAGATGTTGACTTCTAGAAGTTAGCGAACACCTTCCCTTTTTCCTGAGCACCATCTAGATTTTCATTACCAAATAAGATTAGAAGAGTTGGGATATTCCTGTGGTTTCAGCCATGTAACTGTATGAAAGGCAAACACTATTCTTTTGTGATTGTGTTAAAAAGAAAGTCCAAGTAGCATTAAATTTTTGAATGTGGGAAGTGTTTGTTTATAAATGGCAGTCTTAAAGCTAGCAGAATTTTATTATGATTTATTTGAGGTAAGAGAATTAATATCTGAAACAGCAGGAAAATTACACTCCTACAAAAAATTACTCCTCTCACCTATTATGTGATTAATTCTAAGGAAAATTGAAATTGGCAATCTTCGCATTCTGGAAACTTGAAAACGCAACATCATAGGTCTTAGCCATTAGCTGCTGTGCCAGTTGCTTTCTTTGTTTATCCCATTCTAATCTTGCCAAGTGGCTTAAAGGGAGAGCCAAGTGTAATATTAAGCAGCATCAAGAACTTGACTTTCCTTCCAGGAGTCTTTAAACAAATAAAGAGTGGCTTCAAGGACCATTGTGGCACTTACTTGAATACCTTTGGAGTTGACCATAGCATGCACAGCTAGCTACTTTGTGCACAGCATTGGAGATGAGCTGTCCCCTGGGAAGGTGGAAGGACTCAGGGTACTTTGCACTAAGTTAAAGAAAGGAATGGGTGTTCACCCCATGCCTAAGTGCAAACAGTGCACTTGCTAAATATGCTCTCTAAAATACCCAGCAAGAGGGGCGCCTGGGTGGCTCAGTCAGTTAAGCAGCCGACTCTGGATTTCAGCTCAGGTCATGATCTCCGGGTCATGGGATTAAGCCCTGCGGCGGGCTCAGTGCTCAGTGCAGAGTCTGCTTGAGGATTCTCTCTCCCTCCCCCTCTTCCCTGCTCTCGCACACACTCTCTCTCAAATAAATAAATCTTTAAAAAAACAAAATAAAATACCTAGCAAGATAATCCTAGACTTTCATATTTAAAAACAACTGGCTTATTGAATGGGAAAGCCTTTCCATTTTTGATGCTGCGGATGGGAGTTCAGACTTGCCCCCTTAGATTTGTTTTTACTGTATACAGCAACACGGCCGCTCAGAGAGGGCATTCAGTAGGTGATCTGGTCATGGACTTGAGCTCAGCTGAAGCTCCAAAGTGTCATCCTCCTGGAATCCATAGCCTAGTTCAGGCGGTTATCTGGAACCTGTCCAGAGCAGCAGCTGCTGATGAGCAGCAGCTGCTGATAAGCAGCTCTGCGCACTTGGACCCGCAGACAAGTTCCCCGGGCTGCCGTCGGTGTCTCAGGGGCTCAGTGCACCATGACGCCTTCTTCAGAGGACTGGGAACATCTTTGGTTTTTTTCTCCCTTTTTTTTTAGTTTTTTGTTTTAGGAAAATGATGGAGCTCTAGAGGAGCTTGAATGATGTGTATTAGTAAGAGGAAGGCGTTATTTGCTTGGAAAGCACATCTGGCTTTACTTGGCCTCACCCTCGTAAGCAACTGTCCAAATGGACGTGGCACATGACAGCCCATGTCCCACAGGCAGACAGTCACTCCTTTCTCGTGGTGTGTCTGGCCTTTTCCTTACCTGGATTCAATTCCCCCAGAGATAAAAGTGGCCATTCAGATCCTACCCTTGTCCTCAGTATGTGACAGGAATTTGTCCCTATCTTTGACACTCATCAAAGTGAAATAGATATTTCTCAGTGTTCATTCGTCCCGTGGGAAAATCAGGAGAGTGGCTGTGTAAATGGGCTGTGTTGGGGAGCACAGGGAGGAGAGAGCTGGGTGGCACAGAGCCTATGGACCTTTACCCTTCTTCCTCTGGGATGGCTTTTCTTATCAGCGAAGACAGAACGCATGTTGTGCTCATACACACATACACATGCACACACATGCACACACAAATGCACACACATGTGCACACATGCACACAGACCAGCACAGACACATGCACCCACACAAACACGCAGAAAGACGCACGTAAACAGATATGCACACATGCAAACAGACAGATGCATATACATGCACACACATGCACATGCATACACAGATGGGCACACATGCAAACAGATGCATATACACGTGTATGCACATGCGTACATGCAAACAGATGCATGTACACGCACACATGCACA